GACAGAAAGCGAGAAATCACCCCCCAGGGGGGATGGTCACGCCGCAATCCCTTCTCCTCCATTCTCCTCCCGGGATCCTGGGCACGCACGCACACGCGCCCGGCGTGAGTTTTAAGCCACCGGGTCTGTGACACGAACCGCTGTCGACTACGTGGGAGTCCAGCGACATAGCCATTACGCCAACTGCTGGTTCCCAAGATATACTTTTTTAAGTCACTGAGCTCAAACTCTAGTCTTCACAGAGAAAACTAATGATCATGTACTGGATGTTCAGGAAAATCATGACGCATTTTTGCGCAGAAAAACATTGAAAAATACATCGTGACTTTCTCGACGACCTAATATTTTAAATCCATTTTGCAATCGTGTTTAGTAGCCAAGATGGGTCCTGGGGAAACAGAATTGAGGCACTAACTGGGGTATGCAGTCATAGATCCTAGCCACAAACCAATGAGTGAAGTGAACCATTGTCTGTGAAAGGGCTTAATGATCATTAAATGTCTCTATGGTACAGGAACAGCAGTGCGATTTTATGAAACAGCACAGAAAACCTTGGAGCTAAGAAGCATTTTTGTTTTGTTTTTAGATTATTGCTGTAGGGTGCATGCACTGGGGAGAGACAGGGAAAGTGAGAAATCACCCCCTGGGTGGGATGGCCACTCCACAATCCCACGCCCTCCATTCTCCTCTTAGGATTTTGGACACACACGCACACACATACGAGTCTCTGGGTCCAGGACTCAAACAATGGAGTTGGTCAAGTGGGTCTCGGTGCCTTAACCACCACGCCACCTGCTGGCCCCTATGAAGCATGTTTTATAGCAAGATTTAAAAAGATTTAGGGCCAGGTGGTGGTGCAGCAGTGAGGTAACTGGACCCCGCTGGGAAAGCGCCTGTGTTCACGTCCTGGAGCTATCTGTGCGCACACTCAGCAGGCTTGCACGTGTGTGTGACACAGTGGATCACCACACGGAGACCCTGTTCTCTGTCTTACTGTCATGGAAGAAATAAAATAAATGTAAAGGGGCCAGCAGGTGTGATGGAGGTTATCCACGGTTGGCTGGCTTTCACCTGGCCAACTGCGCGGTTCGAGTCCTCGACCCAGCAGTTAAAAAACACATGCCGTGTGTGTGTGTGTGTGCGTGCATGTACACGCGTGCGAGCTATCTGTGCGCACACTCAGCAGGCTTGCACGTGTGTGTGACACAGTGGATCACCACACGGAGACCCTGTTCTCTGTCTTACTGTCATGGAAGAAATAAAATAAATGTAAAGGGGCCAGCAGGTGTGATGGAGGTTATCCACGGTTGGCTGGCTTTCACCTGGCCAACTGCGCGGTTCGAGTCCTCGACCCAGCAAAACACATGCCGTGTGTGTGTGTGTGTGTGTGTGCGTGCATGTACACGCGTGCGTGCATCCCCGAAATCTGCAGAGGAGAATGGAGAAGAATGGATTGCGATGTGGCCATCACCCCTGGAGGGATATTTTCTCACTTTCTGTCTCTTTCTGGTAATCACATATACCCTACAGGAAATTTTCAATATAAATAAATAAATAATACAAAAATACATTTTAAAAAAAGGAGAGTGGCTTTGGATTGCTCACCAAGTAGAAACAGTCGTCTTAGACTCCTCCAGATGGCTCTTCCCAAACCTTCCCCCACGGCCTTGAACCTCTAGCGCCTGAGTGGTTGGAGTGCTGGGGCAGGAGTCTGAGCCTCCAGCGTTTCCAGGGCTGACCTGAACTCTCAGCTCTGGGGAGCAGCAGGTGCCTTGTCACTCTCCCTGAGCCTTAGGAGAACCGGAACAATGGCCTCCTCAGTCCTGGCAGCAGCCTGCTCTCCTCAAGGCGCCTCCCTCCCACTTAAGTCCCTTTTTATTGAACCCAGTTGAATGCTGTCTGATCCGCATGAAGGGCGTTGGGCTGCTCGTGGCCGCAATTAGTTTTTATGCCACCTGGGCACGGAAAGTTCCCTTCACTGCAACGTCCACCATTCCAGTAGGTTTTTTGCTTTAAAGTTCACAACTGAATTTTCATCAGGACACTATTAGATGTAAGGAAACCTGGGCTGTTGCACAATGGTGATCGCGTAGCTAGGTTACACAGAAAGTCCGGGCTAGAGACTGCCCGACCGGTAATCAGTCGTAAAACAGACACTCATGCGCCCTGACTCGACAGCGTAACTGTCCCTCTAACCCCCCTTGCTGGCCAACGTGAAGAGTGACACAGAAAAACCAGAAAACCCTACTCAGTTCTGCTCTCATATCCCAACCTCAGGATTAGAAACAAACAGACAAACAAACAAGCAAACAAAAATGGTAATAGAAAAATGTAGAGAAAGATCTAGGGCAAGGGCCCTGACATAGAAAATTCGTTTTCTATGTTTTTTTCTTTTATTTATATTTTTCTTTTTTGAGGGATGGGGGGCTGCTACACTATTCAAGTGGGAAATGCAATGAGATAATTTTTTTTTTGGGGGGGTGGTTTTTGCTATAGGGTGTGTGCACTCTCCAGAGAGAGAGAGAGATAAAGAGAGAAAGTGAGAAATCACCCTCCGTGGGGCATGGCCACACTATAATCCCTTCTCCTCCACTCTCCTCTTGGGATTTTTGAGCATGTTTGCACACATACCTGGCGTGATTTTTTTAAACCACTGGGTCTGGAACTAATACCACAGAATTGGCCACGTGGGATCCAGTGCCTTAACCTCCATGCCACCTGCTGACCCTACCTCCAGATAACATTTTAAAGTTGTTTTTTTTTTATTCATTCCATGAGAGGAGACAGACAGACACCCCCCTGCCCCCCAACAACAGGATTTTCCTGCAATCCAGCCCCAATCTCAGCTGAACCCAATCACAAGCATACACCTGCAAAAGGACCATTCAGGGAAGTCCTGGGATGCAAACTCAGTACCTTTCCCAGGTGGGTCCAGTTGCTTTACCACCATGGCCACCACCTGGCCCTGAGAGAAGTATTTTCCCAGGGAGGGACCAGCAGTTAGCATAATGGCTATGTCGCTGGACTCCCATGCAGTCGACTGTGGTTGGCGTCCCGGACCCGGTGGCTTAAAACTCACGCCGGGCGCGTGTGCGTGCATGCCCAAGATCCCGAGAGGAGAATAGAGGAGAAGGGATTGTGGCGTGACCATCCCCCCCTGGGGGGGGATTTCTCTCTCTTTCTATCTCTCTGTCTCTGTCTGTCTGGCAAGCGCACCTGCCCTATAGCAAAAACAAACAAATAAACAAAAAAACCCAAACCTCTCCAAAGAAGTATTTTCCCAGGGAAAAAATGCCCTCTCCTGTGTGAAAACTGTACACCATTTACCTTCAGGAATATCATAAGAAAGAACGGAACTTACACGGGTCAAATGCATACCCACAGCCCCGGGGAGTCCGGGGTGCTGAGGCCGTGACACCAGCTCATCACGGGCTAGGGCTGAGAACGGATCCTGCTCACCGACTCTGGCACGGATCGTGACCATTGCAAGTGCAAGCGTCCCGCCAGGCTGTTACCTCGCTGGATGCCATCTTCAGCTCAGATTTTTTTTTCTGTGGGATCACACCGAACAGACCGTTCTGTGACTGTGCAGCAATCAGTACTCGTTTCTGTAAATGATTCCGGGGAGGAGAATCGTTCGCGCCCACCTCGTGTCAAAGCGATAGAAGGCTGAAGGGACTGCAGGCGGCAGAGGAGGACAACATACCCCTGAATACCTCAAATCCAGCCCAGTAGGAGCCTCTTTTTATTGGGCATCTACTGAGGAGCCAGATGATTTCTGAGACAGAAGAAAAGAGCCCCTGATGTCCAAGGACTGACCTTAAAATGACACGAGTCAGGTCACGGTGACACCGTGAGGAAGTGAGTTCGAGGCCGCTTTGTTTTTTTTTTGTCTAAGCACAGACAAAAGCAAGGACAGAAAATGCCGGACAGCGCCCCCTGGCTGAGGACACCAGTCCTGACCACTTCTTTACCTTTGGGATTTTAGGCTCCATAGGGTAGCTCAGTATTCAGCCTCGTCTGCCCTCCCAATGCGTGGACACGGAGATACCCCGAACATAGACTGGCCCTGCGTTCTGACAGCGCTCAGTCCTGGGGAACCCCTGCTTCCTCGGCCGCCTCCGCAACTCACCCAAGCCCAGCCCAATGTCAACAGCATGTCCACTCTGAACCCCTCTTATGGAAGCACCCACAGATCCCATGCTGCGTTCTCCCTTCCTGCAGGGAGTCATCAACCCACCTCGTTCAACTACGGATGTGTTCCTGGTGGGCTCTGGATGGAAGGCTTTGTCATTTAAAATATATGATTTAATTTAACCTTTAAAAAGAGCATAAACCTGAATTTATAGACAACCCTCAGGCTCCTAAAGGCTCATTTGATTCATAATCACAGATAGAAAGAGAGAAAGCTAAGATTTGAATGCAGGCCCTTTGCCAGCCAGACAGAGACAGAAAGGGAGAAATCACACCCCACCCCCCCACCCCTGTTTTGGGAGGTGTCCACGGCATAATCCCTTTTCCTCCATTCTCCTCTTGGGATTTTGGGCACTTGCATGCATGTGCACACACACACACACACACACACACACACACAGATGCTCGGTGTAAATTTCAAGCCTCTGGGTCCAGGATTTGAACTGCAGTTAGCCATGTGGGAGTCTAGCACCTTAATCACTTTGCCACCTACTGGCCCGCTTCTCATTACATCTTAAAACAAAGTTGTACTTATTTATTTATTTCTCCCATGAGTGAGAGTGACTGACTGACAGACCAACACAGAGAGGGACAGCACCCCACACAGGGTCTTGAAACCACGATCCACTCCCAGCCTCAGCTGGCCTGAGCCGTAGGTTCACGTACACCGGCATACTCAGGGAGGTCTCTGGACTTGAACTGGGAACCTTCCCATGTCCAGCTGCCTTGCAGAGTATAGCCTTTTACAGCTGTCCCACCATCTGGACCCTGCCGCTCTTTGCCTTCAGTGACTAAAGACAGGGAGCATGACAGAGAGGACTGAAAAGATATCCAACAGGGGACGAAGATATTTCTCCCCACCCACTTTTTTTTCACTTATTTTCTATAGGCATGTGCACTCTCCAGAGAGAGACAGAGAGGGGAAGAGAGAGAGAGGGAAAGTGAGAAAGCACCCTCAAGGTGGACGGTCATGACACTACCCCTTCTCCTCCATTCTCTCAGGATTTGGGGTACACACGCTCACATGCTGGGGTGTTTTTTCAAGCCACCGGGTCTGGGACTCCAACCGTTCAGGGGATCTTGTGGGATCCAGCCGCCTTAACCTCATGTCGCCCGGCTGGCCCTTCCTCGTCCACTTTAACCAACACTCTCATGGGACAACATTGCCATCCTGTGACGTCTTACCATGCAGATTTGAAATTGACTGGATTTTGCAACCGCAAAAAATCATACAAGCAATATTTAATAGGATACATCTTATTAGTTCCATAGACAAAATAAAATGAGCCTCTAAATTAAAAAAACCATAGCTGCGAGCAAAGAAGGTTTTTTAATTGCCAGAGGGCACGTGTGTTTATCAGAGGGAGAGAGAGAGAAAGAGAGAAAAAGAGAAAGAGAGGGAGGGAGACAGAAAGTACCATCCTAGTGGAGTGTGGTTAGGCCACGAATCCCTTTTGTCATCCCATCAGGATTTGGGGCACACTCACACATACATCCTGCACTTTTTTCAAGCTACCGGAACCAGGATTCAAACCATGGTCAGTCATGTTGGACAGCACTTAACCACTGTGCTACAGGGCCAGCCCCCAAATGTTTCATTGTCATCTGTCGTACATTTTTCTTCCTGTAAGAAAAACATACTTCATCCTCTCACTTTAAAATAATGTCCTTCCTTGGAGATCAGCAGATGGCATAATGGTTACATCACTGGACTCCCATATAGTTGACTGTGGTTCGAGTCCCAGACCCGGTGTGGGACGCTGGGTGTGTGTGTGTGTGTGCCCAAGATCTTGAGAGGAGAATGGAGGAGAAGGGATTGCAGCGTGACCATCCCCTCTTGGGGGTGATTTCTCGTTTTCTGTCTCTATGTCTCTCTGGTAAGTGCATATGCCCTATAGCAAAAATCTCTCTAATAAAAAAAAAAAAACTTTTTAAAAATAATAATATCCTTCCTTAATAGATCAGTCTGCTGAAGTATACTGGTTGCCTCTGTGTCAAAGAACTTTTGGGTCCCTGAAAGATGGGATGGGAGACTTTGGAGAGGTGTTTTGTTTGTTTGTTTGTTTGTTTTTGTTTTTGTTTTTTTTCCTATCAGGCCTGTGCACTTGCCAGAAAGACAGAGACAGACAGAAAGCGAGAGATAACCTACCAGGGGAGATGGCCACACGGCAATCCCTTCTCCTCCATTCTCCTCTTGGGATCTTGGGATCTTTTTAAAGACAAGTTGAATCTGTGACTAAGGCAGTACAGAGAATACAAAGAATTCTCTTGGTTTCTCATTTAGCAGTTGTATTGGGTTGTCAGAAAAGTCATGACATGGGTTTTTTTTGGAGAAGTTTTTCGCTATAGGGCACGTGCACTCGCCAGACAGACAGAGAGAGGCATAGAGACAGAAAACGAGAAATCACCCCCCAGAGGGGATGGCCACGCCGCAATCCCTTCTCCTCCATTCTCCTCTCGGGATCTTGGGCATGCATGCACACGCGCCCGGCGTGAGTTTTAAGCCACCGGGTCCAGGATGCGAACCGCGGTCGATTACATGGGAGTCCAGCGACATAGCCATTACGTTAACTGCTGGTCCCATGACATGTTTTTCTATGCAAAAATGCATCGTGGCTTTTCAG